TCATTAAGAGGCGTCGTTTTGAACAATGACTCCATACTTGTGTCTGATGACATTTCTAAAAGAGATTCATATATCTCATTTGACATGTTTTCAGGCTTTTCCAAGTTGGGTAAAAAAGGATTATGAATCCAGGAGTTCACTTTAATTTTTGTATTGTGTTCTTCGGGAAAATACTTTTCAAAAGATGCGCGCATCGAACTGAGATATTGGACCAATTCTTCAAACACATTATCTTCAAACATTTCTGAGTCGTTTTCGCTAACAAACTCAGTGAGTAACGTAAAACTTTCTATTTCTTTCTTACCAATGCAAATGATCCAAAAATCTAATTTTCTTTTAAAAGTAGTTATTTTATTATAGGCCTGAAACACTGTTGTCTGTTTACCTTGCAATGATAAATTTAATTCGTTAAGTTTTTGAAAGATATCCGCCATAAAAGACAATCGGAACAACCAAGTTTTATCATACAAACGGTCCTTCAAATTAAAAGAAGTATCTGCTGAAAGAAACATTTGTAACTCGGCTCTAAGTTCAAATAGCCTTGTTAAAGTTTTTCCCCGAGACAGCCATCGCACTTCTGTATGGAGCAGCAGTGTTTTATGTTTGCTGCCATAATCTTCACACAATAATGAGAACAATCGGGATTGTAGTGGTCGTGATTTGATAAAATTAATTATTTTTACCGCTTCATCCATAACTAATTTTAGATTAGACGGCATTTGCTTCATCGCAAGTGCTTGTCTATGCAGAATACAATGACTGGAACTACAATTAGGCGCTTTATTTTTCATTCGTGACACTGCTCCTGCTGTTTTACCTGTCATCGCCTTGGCCCCATCTGTACAAATGTCAATGCAATTGTTCCAACTGAGATTATGTTCTTCAAAAAATATATTTATTTTATTAAAAATTTCTTCCCCGGTAGTGTTTGTAAGCAGCGATGAACACATAAGCATGTCTTCTTCAAAAGAACTTTTATATGGATATCTCACAATAACCAGCAGGATAGCCAAACCAGCGACATCAGTCGACTCGTCCATTTGCAAAGCGAATCGTGTATTTTGTAGACGTGTAACTAGTTCTTGTTTGACGTAGCTTGCCAGATCATGGATTCGTCGTGAAACAGTATCGTTTGATAGCGGAACAGTAGAAAGATGCTTTGCAGATTTTTCATCAAGCATACATTTTGTTATGTCTAATACACATGGTTTTATTAATTTCTCAGCGATAGTGTGCGCTTCACCTGCTTGTGCAATGCGATAGCTAACTAAGTATGATGCCTCCGTGGCCTTTTCGTTGGTAGTTTGTGTTACATGCATCATATTTTTTTGACTTTCTAATAACTGATCTTTTTTGCGAACAAAAAATTCTTTATTCTTGTCTTTAGTCTCGGGGTGTACGGTTTCTAAATGTCGACGCAATTTGGCAGGTGCCATGGAACTATTAGGAAGCAGTTTACTACAGAGCATGCAGAGAGGTGAGCCGTTGGAATCAACAAATCCGAAACTGATATAAGATTCATCATACTTCCTTTTTTTCGTCTTTGAAACCGTCGAGCTTGACGTCGTGGCACTCGTGGCATCATCTTCTGGATCGGTGATTGCTAAATTCTCCGCGCGCATTGCTTTTGAACATTCAGCGTCATTAGAAGATGTTGTTGGAACACGTTTAACACCTTTAAGCCAACGTTCCATTCTTCTTTATTTATAATGTTACAAGTCAGGATAGTGGGGTTTAAATAATGCACAATCGTTACTGCGTATAAGAGACTAAATTTAGAACCTACAGGGAAGAAATGTATAAAACTGAGACAACAGAATACAGCAGGCAGTAAAACAATGAACACCAGTTTCTCGCTAGCGAGCTTGTAAGTAGGTAGTAACTTATCGCTCCGAACGCTAATCATCAACTGACGACGCCAACGCGCGATCGCCGCTTTTATACTTAGTCCTAGACTCGATCTCAAATATTCTCGAAAATACTCGAGTCGGCACCTTTGATAAACAAAAAGCAAAAATAAAAACAGAAATTTAAAAATAGCGTTGTAAACAATATCGACTTTATCCTTTGAAGTTAGAGACGAAAGTCGCTAGTTGACAACTATAGCGTCTAATTCAGAGGCGGCTTTTATCAAAGAGACTGAGCGCTTACAAGTATACTACCCGCTCGTTTTAAGTTTGCCGCTGGCGATAGGTATGAGTGTATGACGTTCGAAATTTTTTATTTAATTGTAACAATAAAAATTGTGTACGTTAGATATTTGGGTAAAACTATGACACATTATAAGTTTTGTTGTCACGTGGGGGAGGGTACGCGCATTCCACAGACCGGCAAACTTAGAGCGAACGCGTTGTACAAGTATAAAATTGTTGAGACCAAACTTATGAGATATTGTACCAGCTAATGTAACACAAGCTTATACAAATACAAATAAATAAATAAATAACATTCATAGCGTTTTGTCTCCGCGCGGCCGCGGAGTCCGCACAGCCGCGGAGCGACCAGAGAGAGGTGTTTTGATTTTTTTATTTCTAAATTCTTGCGGAACCCCGACAGAGGTATCACGGAACCCTAGGGTTCCGCGGAACACACTTAGAGTATAGCTGACCTAGACGATAAATTTTCGCTTGTATTAACAATAAAGCAATGCGATAAAAACCATTCCATTTAAGGTACACGGATGTATCTTTATAAGCCTATATCTTTATATACCTATAAACCGTTTTATCATCTAATTTGTTGATGTTGAAAGCAATACGAACAAAATCCTAACTCCAGTGAATGAGATTATTATAAAATTGGAAGATTATTACTGCGGTTTAGGGCAGACGTGTTTCCGATGCCGCTTCCGATCGTACGGTTGAACGGTCACGCAATTTTATATTTCGAACGCGATCTGAGAAAAGAGTTAAAAGCAGTGGTAGCGCACAGGTAACTTGCACGTGTGCTTTGAAATACTAAAAAATAAAAGTGCACGACTATCGATTGCTGCGGATGTAGGGAGGATAAAGAATCGAGTTGACCGATCGTGGAAAATTACATCAACGAACGACTATCGTCACGTAGCTCTATAGGGTGCACAGGAGGACCGGGGGCAACGCAAACCAGTCCGACCGCGGTGGTGCGCAAAATACCGTTTTTTTATGGAACAACGAGACTTCATTCATAATGTATTATAGCGCCTTGAAAACTCACTCGCACGCATACACACACACACCGAACTATAAATAAATGTAGAAGATACGCAGGTTGGGTCTATGGCAGTGTGAGAAGCGACCATGCCCGCTACAGAGATATAAATTAAACTGGCTCAAAACAATTAAGTAGGTAGTGGAGTCATTGACGACACAGAGTATTAAAAAAATCACACGAGTACGAGTAGCAGAGATCACGATGGTTTCCCTTCGCACACAAACAAGTTATTTAATATTCACCCGATGTGCATCTGTGTTTGTTAATAACGGTATATTTGAGCTTAAATAAGTATACGTTTAGTGTGCGCATACGCATGCATTGGGGAATAGGTTCCCTCACTGCAAATTGCTATTGTAGACGGGTAAACGATGCGGGAGAACAAAAAGTCGAACGACTGGAGTATCGATTTTTTGTATGCTTTTGATGTTGGATGGTGTTGGCTGACATTTCGGCTTTTAATATAACAGCAGGTTTCGTCTACACAGGAATTCGAAATGTTACAATGGGAAATGGCAGCGCTCAGGTCTCAGTAAAGTCGATTGGGAAAGTCTTCCATACTAAGAAGTTAACAAATGCCAAACTCTGATGTCAATTTAATTTAACGTTTTATTATGAAATGGGACACATATTGGCTCATTTTATTGTAAAGAAAGATTTTTTAAGCAATCACATCAAGTTAAATTTAATCATACTTAAGATTTAATTAACGTCTCAGTGTACAGCCGTAACTGTCGATCGATGCCAAGTGTGAGTCAAGCGCAGAGCGTTTGGGCTATTTGATAATAATGTTAATGTTACTCTTAGATGTTCTTGTGGTTAATATAAATAAACAATCTGTCCGTTAACCGTTTGTATTGTTAGCTTTGACTTAATCAAGCGATTTATGGTCAGAATGAGTGCTGCTTGTATAATAAATATGTTTACTACTGTATAAAAGGAGCTAAGTGTTGAAATAGCACGAGATCACGAAACTTATAAAAGTTCATAGGTTCAAGCCGTCTGGGTGCGTTAGCCCTTTGCGGGAGTTACATAACCTTGACCGATCACAAAAAGCAATGACCTCGAATCTCAATAGGAATATCTCCCTGGGATTAGTGTAACCACATCAATGATGCGAACATCCATTAATTTTGTTAACTAGGCTGTTGGTGTCTATCTTACTTTCGACCTTGCATTGTTTATTTACATGTAGTTTTACAGCTTCCGGAGTGCTGCTCACCTAGTAAACGTAAGCGATTAGCGCTGCTAAGAATCGTGAAGGGTTCCCGTAAACTAGATCGAACTACTAACCCTGCCCGAAATATCTCTCGCCTTCAGAGACGTCTGGAGAAGTTATTCTGGTCGTGAAAGCACGCAGAACGTCGCGGATTCGCCTCTTTCGGTATCAACTTCACCAGCGAGCTTTGGAATGCATCTAATTTTAAAGCGAAGAGGCTCCAGCGACCTAGCTGACCCCGCGCGCCGGCCGTATTAAACCTGAACTTTCTTTATAACTATGTACCTTGTCTACCTATGTTTGCTCGGCAAACGTACACACACAAGCGCGACACCGAGGCGGTCAGAGCCGGGCCCGGTCACGACTCACCTAACCTACACCCTCGCCCGGCTAGCTATATCCAGGACAATCTGCTGAACGCCCCGACACGCTCGTGGGAAAGTGACGGTCGTGTAATGCACAACGGCCTCGTGCCTACGGCCACCGGCTTGCATTACACAGTTGTTTATACTAGCGGTGCGAACTGACGATTCCGACTGGCACATTCGCACAAACAGGGATTCGCGGTTTTCGGTGTCAATGTCAGTACCTGGGGTAGAAACCCTATCAGGGCGATGAGCACAGCGGGGGCGCGCATGCTGGCGCGTCCGTGCTAGCGGCGCCGGGGCATACGACCCGAGACCCGGCGTGGTCAGCACTCGACGGAGGATCCGTAGTAATCCATCACTTGCACAAGTACACACTGAGTTTCACTGCAAGTCACACAGCACAAGAATCGAGATGTCACTGTTTGCTCATCGGCGGCGGCGAACCGGTCGCGATAGTGCACTACGTTCGAAACGCGCGCGTCGCGTGTTGCGGCGTGTAAGAGCCGTACGGACGTGTATTCGTTAAAGCGCGTGTCGGCGGACTGGAGGCGGGCGGCGGCCGCGGTGCGGGCATGGCGCACCTGGCGCGCGGCAGGCCCCGCTAGATGGCGCTGCGCGGCGCATCTGCCGGCGACCCTCGCCGCCCGCCCGCCGCTACCCCTCCGTCAGCCATGCAGAAAATACACGGAAAACAGGCGTCTTCACAACGCGAACACGTGCCCATATGTAAAAACTTCGAAGAAGAATCGAGCGATATGCAGTTTCTACAGTGGCTAGCGTCGATACGCATCTTGGTATTTTTCTGTTTCTCCTTGGACGGCTGACGGTTCTAGATTCTTATTGAGATAACATGTCATCGGGAAAATTACGTTTGAGATTACTGAATGCCGGCAAGTGGTTTACAAACGCTCACTGCTTGTAAAGCTTTGTAAATTAAATGCCGGCTTAAATATTTATTATTTTTTGTAACAGATAATAATTAAGTATTATGTGACTGTCGCAATTAAAATTATGGTATTGTTGCACATAAAAAAATTAACTGACAAAAAAAAGTAACACTATCAATACCTAGTTTATCTAACATTGAAGTTAAAACTTTTCAGTTAAATTTTATGTAGGTAATGGATCAATTACAGTCTATTTTACGTAAAGTTGCTCGAACTTCGAAAGCTCCGCTCGATGGTTCGCGTGCGTGATACAATCGACTCCGTTTACCAAATGCAAATTTTTATAATCTCCGCCAATAATATTGACAGCTGCTTACCTACCTCTGGCTGTTACGATGTTATAAAAACTACTTAATTATAAGAGATTTAAAAATAAATATTTTATTCAAAAATGGAGTGGGTTAATTTAAATCGGCAGTAGTTTGAATTAATTTAAGTATAAAGGCGCCTACCTAATTTTATAAATTTGATAGCTAACTAATGTTTATTTATACATTTTTAAAGGATGTTCTAATGGTTTTGGTCAGATAATATTTTATGTATAAAAACATGTGAGATAATTGTTATACGTATTCAATGGCCATCGATTGAATCATAATGATACTTATAACTTGAAAGTTGTACTTATTGTTATGTACCTATGTATGTATGTGACATCCACATCCAATAATAAACATCCTTAATTTGTGACAATTCAATCATACTTAAAAGTTGTACCTCTCAGTGCGGCTACAAAAGTCAAGAGACATTATTAAAATCAGTAGTTAAATAAATTACGTACCAGTAATATCAAACGAACGGTGACCTATATAATTTAAATCAAGGGTACGATTATAATTCACTGATTTGGAAAATTAACTTATAATTCATTAGAACTTTGATTATAAATAGATCTGAGATAACTTAATGCTACCTTTCGTGACGCGCAAGAACATTGATCGAACAATCTATCAAAATATCCTTGTCCATATTGGGAACATGCTAATGTCATCTTTTGAATAGTCCAACAATGTCTTGTAATCAAGACCTTTATATCTTGGACATAATGTTTTAGCTAAGAGTAATAATTAGACTAAGAAAATCCATAATGTAGCAAGAAAGGTAGGACATAGCGGATTTGCCGCTTGAATCGGAGCCCCCGTCCGTCTGGGGCAGTAACGTCTCCCTTACAGAAGAACTCAGTAAAATAACACTACCTAATAGCAGTATTTTAAGCCAGCAAGACTAGGTATAAACAGCATTCTGTATGAGAAATGGAGTACTTAACTTATTATGTTATTAAATATTGTATTAACAAACATATAATTGCTTTTTTCAGGAGGACATCTGTACAAACTGCGTTTATAATATTGTGGAAAGTGCGATAGTTACACAAAAATGCGATACTACGGCGCGTAGTTCCCTGCCGGGGTTTTTATATTACGTGCATTTGCCTATCGCAAGGACAACACAACCTCTTATCACTGAAATTGTGTAGTAATTGTGTAATCAAGCCAAGCTTGAAAAAAATTAACTATATCCCTAAGAACTTGGTATCGGAACCTCCAAAGCTCGCTAGGCGCGTTCGTGCTGGAGCCTGGTCCGAGTTTTCTCCTGCTCCAGGCGTTGTGATTTCATGGCCGTAAATTCTCTCGCCGCTCTGTTGAAGGGGGTCGGGGCTCGTCTACTGCGGGCGCACAAACGCAGGCGGTCGGGAAAAGCATCAGACTACGGTGTCGCCGGCAAGCCCAACCGTGACTACGCCCGGCAGTCAGAGGAGAAGCAGACGCGCTGGGGGGTGGCCGACTTTGCCTCGGAGAAGTAGTGGGCGCTGCCGGGGATGGCGTAGCTGGAAGGCGTCCCTGAGACGAAGGAGCTAGCACGCTCGGGCGGAGTGCTTGTGTTTATACCAGAGGCTACGATGATGTAGAAGGCAGAAACCAAGTATTTGAGTGCTGAGAAGTGATTGGTTGTGGTGGTGGTGATGAAGGAACGTGTGGCGTTTTTGGAAAAACAAAATTTGTGTGTTCATTTTGGATACTTTAGAGGTCTGTGTGATCAAAGGAACGAATTCCTTCTTTTAAATGTTTTAGATGTTATTTTAGAAATATAAATAACAGAACTGAGGTTATGTAAGTAGTTAAATTTCGAAAATCTGAGACAATAAATTAAATAATTAAATTCTATTTACATAATTATACTAACAATATTTCACTATCTAAAAGACGTACCATCTTCAATTTCCAGCACCATCATCATCATCTTGGGTGACAGGTGATCTTGAATATTTCACCTACTAGAGAAACTAAGATTTATTATTTAGGTAGGGGCCTGAAAATGTATAATACTCACATTAAATCCTAGCTCTTCTACTAGGCTTGTCCTTCCGCTGCTAACGCGCCTGTTACGACCAGAACCCTTTCACCAAGAGCCGACAAGTTTTGCCGGCTTTTTGGTCTACCACCAGTCCCTCTTGCATGATTTCTAATTAGTATCCGTTCATCTTGCGTTTTTGACTTACAATTTTCGGGACTTACTCGCACTTCGTACTCTTGAATTGAATCCATGTTTTAGAGAACACTTTTATGTAAATAATAACACTATTTACCTATCACTACATAATTGTATTTCTTTAGTAGGAAAGCCAACCATGTTATCTGAAGTGGGTGTGTGTTTATTGAAACCTATGAATATAATCATATAATATTCATTAATATACAAATTGTTAACGTTTGTACACTTGCGCTCTTGTTCACTTTGCCCGAATCTCTGGGTTCTAAAGTTCTAATGTGGTTCTAATCTACAATTAGAAATACAGTTAGGTATGATATGTAGAAAACAAAACACTGTGGTCCCTCGCACGGGATGCTGTTATACTTTTGTATAAACAAGCTAAGCGACATAAGTTCTGACGAATCACAATATGGTGATCCTAATCTAACACGATGCGAAGGCATTTAAGAGATCCGTCTTTAAATAATGAATCTTATATTTGCAACACTTGCAGTACAATTAATATGCGATTTCGCGGAATTCGCGGACTCTTCTTGACATATACTGATAGCTAAAGTTTAGATAACTGACGAATAAACAATTCGACACGACAATAGTGTTACCTTGGCTAGGAAATTGTTTTTGTTATTTGAAGAGACAATGACGAATTTAGATATCTTTTCGCTACGAAGCGATGTAACTTTGTCTAAGCCCCCTGGGCAGACCGCGCAGGAGCCCTCACAAAATAGATATAATAAAAAACTATGCAAATCTTAGTACTTAACAAAATACTTACTTAATTACCTTCACTGCAAATCCCAAGTACTTAAAGCACGTGCGATACTTATTTATGATAATCCTAAACAACCGTGACGGAGCCATAACCACCCAGACACGAGAAAATATGATTCAAGTTTTCTCTGTTGACTCGAACGACAATCGTATCCACCGCTCGCCAATCGTGTACAAAGGTCGTTAATTGGACCAACCAATAGTAGTAATCATGTGTTCATTTTTATTGGCTAATATGGCCACGCCTACAGTCACACAAAAACATGTCAGAATAATATTTTTTGACTACGATTAAGTAGGTATATATTTAGATACTGTTGCTAATTGCTTGCAGCCTTGTAATGTGTGCCGTGCGTGCCTACTATCACTATTGATAACAGTAATTTTTTTTTTAATTTCTTTTTGATTTTTTTATTGATTTTTTCCTCGTAGTGTAGACATAGATAAATAATTGGTCTCGCTTAGCGAGAAATCAGTGTAGATACAATTCCACACCATACAGCCTAAGCTTCCGTAGTTTAATTTTCTTTCTAAGCCTGACTTCCTCAACATAAAGAAACCTATATTAATGTTGTACCCCCTCCCACTCCCAAAATGATTGGCCCTCTTGCATTTATACTAAAATATAAAGAAAGTTATAAATAAAATACTGAACACAATATCTTTTTATTGTTATAGTATAGCAATTCCTCAATCTTCAGTAACAATTTGAGTTCTACAATGGCATTTTTTCTATTAAAAAGACTCAAGGGCAAAGTTTTTTTAAAAAGAAATTTTCTAACTTTATGTTTCATTTTATCGATATAATTAGTAAAATATAAGTACAGTATAGATGGAAAGTGTATTTTAACAGAGTTTCACCTAAAATGCAACAAAGAGAGAACAAAAAGAATTTGGTCTGCCAATCTTTGCTTTGCCAATTCACTATACGTTTGAAACCTTCTCTGCTGATTTTGAAGTATTTTTATACATATTATTATATACATATATATTTATATTAATATTAAACAATCAAAAGTTTTATTAAGTTACGTTTTATTTTGTTACTTAACCTATATAACAGCATTGTTGAACCATATTCAATAGAAAACAAATAAATAATTTACTATAAATAAACAAATGAAAAATTTCTATTACAGGGCCAATCACTTTAAAGTGTTGAATTAAAAAAAGAACCAAATATTTACATTCTAAATAGTCGTTATAATAAAAAAGCCGTAAGCAAATAATCCTTTTAATTTACGCTAATTACTTACAAAGCCTTACCTATTATATGTAACTAGTAAACCAGTGAACCAAATGTTCACCAAAACCTGATTTCTCGAAAACCGGAAGTGCTACGTTACTCAAATCCGGTTTGTAGTCTTATCAGACTATTCTTAACTTATAACTTAAATATTCTCTTTATC